GTTTTCCACTTACAACTATTTCCTCCCAAAGTGTTCAAATATGAACAGTAGGGCACACACTTGAAAAATCAGGGCCTACGTGTTTAACAATAATAAATTTCTCTTAACCAATTTCAAAATAGCTAACAAATTCCCCATATCTTAACAATGATCTCTTTCACACAGGAGACCTGAATATTTTCAATCTGTAGGAAAACCTCAATAATAAAACCCTCCAACATTCATAAAACTCATCACTACAGTCTACTTTGCATGCTTTATTAAATTAGCAATGAACAAGTAGATGACTAATGGGCAATTACACAGAACAGAACAAAACAGAATCGCACAACCAGAACAAAGTCATTTTTAGATGTCATGGTGCATAAGCAAAGAGTTGATCCCCTATTTAATATCCAGGCCAGTATTATTCACATGGACCAAGTCATGAACTCCTCACTTTACATTACTCAGGGATCGCCAATGCAGATGGCAAATACATGCAACTGGATCACTGTCAAAGCTGAAGACAAAGGAAGGCAAAATGAATACTACAGCAGTTTTAAATTGCCTTATGAATTCCCAGAGAAGCTGCATTAAAATTCAGCAAAGTTAATAACCCACAATTCCCTTCAGAACATACCTAAACAGTTGTCAGCTCTTGCTGTCTCCAAAGCCTATGCAGTGGATTTGTTCCCACAGTTGTGTTTAAAATAGCAGGACAGAATGAGAACAACAGATTAGTTCCTTGCAATTATAAATGTTATCCTATCAAAGATGGTAACTTCAAAAACTGTATATTGGGAAAAAGTAACAGAATTGTAGAACTTCAATAAGACATAATTATAGCCCACATAGTGTTAAATGCCTACACTTTAAAAAAATTGCTACAGATTCTGGGTAAAAGAAACTGTCTATCCAAAAATCTACTGAAATCACAAATAAATCAGGCAGACAAGCTGCAGTATACCTTGAGCTTTAAAAAATCCCATTCTTTTCCTTTGGAAGTCTTCCAATCTGACACTGATATTTTTCTGATCCACTGACTGTTTTCACTATTATGTATACTTTCTCCATAGTACTCCCAAATCCTCCTCAGATATGAGTTCTTACTTCCCCAAAAAAAAAAAGAAAAATCCTTACATTCATTTTGTCAGGTGAAAACAAGCACTAATCAGTCTCTCACACATGACTTTTGACTCCTTTTCTTTAAAGAATGGCAATTCATCAACTACATTTGTGAGAGTGAAACAAACAGATTTCTTGAACTCAGCCATCCACAACTTTCACATTGTTTTGCTGCATGAATAGTCAGATTCTTTATTAAAGACTTAGATAATCTTATCTGTCTGAAAGTAGCATTGGGATGCTGCTGGTAACAAGACAGTATATGGCCACTGAGGACCTAACCACATTAGCAGCATCAGCTCAGGCTTTTCAGTGTTTGTTTTACGCTGATGCTCACTTACAGTTCATCAATAAAAACAAATTGGATCAAAACATGTTTCGGTAACTGTATTCAAAAGACAATACAAATGCAGTCTACAAATCCTTAAGGTCTTAGGAGTTGTACTCTCTTTTAAGTGCTCCAAAAGACTCACACTACCATGTATCTATTAGTAACAATTTAAAAAAAAAAAAAAAACAACACCAAAACCAAAAACAAAACCAAAAAAACCACAAAAACCTTTGACAGTTCTTCTCCTACTCCTTGTAAAAATTTGGTGAGCTAAGCACTATATATACACATGTAAAAGCCAGATCCAGGAACAAGGACACATACACTTGACCTACAGTTTAAGGTCATGCTTGCCTTTAATATATAAAGAACCCAGCAGAACAAGAGGAAACAGCATGTCAGAACAAACTGGTACAATCTACTTTTGGGCAGGATCATCATAAAGCAGCTCTATTGGATTAGAAACATAAGCCTGACGCAATGGAATGCATAGAGGGGTTTTTGGTTGTTTTCTTCCCCTCTTTCTCACTAACAAAGACTATTCCACAAAGATAAATTACCATTTTGGTATGACGAAAGTGAAGCAATACTAACTTTTAACTTGCACTAGAACTACCAGTATGCACAGGTGGTATCAAAGACATTCTGGATCTTGTGGATTTGACATAGGAAGGAAAACATTCTGAGAGTAGAAAAGGTATTTTTACTTTGCAGCTTAGGAGATACTGGCTAAGTCTGTTCTTTATATGTGCATATTTTTTAAAACTCACATTCTTTACTCATATTCAGAGTGAGACCAACTTACATTTGGGATTAAGAGTTCTTACTGTCATTGACTCCCTCAATTTATGCAGAATCAAACTCAGCTAAACTCAGATAAAAAGATCCTTACTCCTTATTTGTTCTATTATTTAACAATGGCTAAAAGAAGTGTTCATGAAAGGAAATTCATACCACCAAAATGGAGGCATCCAAGGGTAACACTTTCTATTTACTTTACAAAACTACTGAAGAGTCATACTCTGCTACAGTCACTTCCTCATATTTGAATACCTTTTCTTGAAGCCTTTCATACAAAGAATCACAAAAGGAGCTCAAGATTGGAAAAGGCCTTCAAAGATCATCTGGTCCAATCTCTTGGGGAAAGGGAACCACTCTTTAGATGAGAGTAGATGAGACCACTCTGTCCAAATGCATCTTAAAAACCTCCAGTGATGGGATCTCAGCCACACTTCTGGAGAAGTTGTTGCAGTGATTGATTGCTCTTGCTGTAAAAAACATCTTTCTTATATCAAGGTGAAACCTTTCCCAGTGCAATGTACACACTGTCCCTTGTCTTCTCCACATGAAGAGCGAGCCTCCATTCTCTTTGTAGATGCCCTTTCCAATATAGGCACTCCCCCGCTTTCCTATACAAGCACTAACATTCAAACAGTTGCTGGCTGGACCAAACCACACTCCCAAAAGAAAAAAAGTTATTGCCAGGGCAGAAAGTAAAACTGGTTGTGGTTATTGGTGGAGTTCAGCTAGAGGAGACATGAATACAGTGGTGAACAGGACTGCTCTTTTGGGTGGACCAAGACAAGCTGGAGGAATGGACCTCATGAAAATCAAACACAGTACCATGCAACAACCAAGGCTGTGGGACTGTCTAGGTAGCAACTCTGCAGAAATGGGTATGGAGTTCCTGGCTGATAAGCTGAAGATGACTCAGTGGTGTGCCTTTGCAGCAATGAAGGTTAAAAAAAGAGAGACTCAAGTATGTAACTTGGATAGAAATTCTTGCGTACAAAGTCTAAATTTTCTTAAGAAATTGCTGAGGGAAAAGCAGGTAGTGAAGGTGACAGTAGACATTGAAAACTGATTAGAAAGACATGCTGGCAGACTGTAGCTTTCCTTGGCAAATTGGCTAAGAGACATAGCTCCTCTCCTATTATGATGTAATGTCCAACAAAAAAGAGTAAGTGCTGCTTAGTATCTTGTCTTACAACAATTTCCTTCTTCTGTATCAATGACACCCATTTCAGTCCAGGGATACTATTAAAATGGCACTGACTTCTAAAAGCCATCAAACTGGCCTTCACAAGTTGTGGAAGCACCTTAATCAGAGTACACATTGCATTCTTAATCATTCCCGAGATGTCCTCCATAACAAAATAATTAGAGTCCAACATAATAGTCTCCAATCGTCATTCTAAGAATTTGGCTCTTGAGTTCTTTAAGTAAAGATTGTTACCCCTGCCTTACAGGCCTACCCGTACCAACACCCTGGAAAGCACATAGCCGTTATTTTCATCTGTCTAATTTACTCTTCTGCTAATAAAAGCAACATCATAAGTACAATCATATCCAGGAAAACAGGTGAGAAAAGAAAAAACGAACAAGCAAGAAGCCAAGGCCAATTTTCATCAAGAAATTATTAGTTCAGTTGAAAGAAATGAAACCTACTCAACAGAAAGAAAAATATATCAGAAGTGATAAGCAATCATCATAGGTATCGTTTGAAGTGGCAAAGATTAGGTTAAACTTATTATATCAGCAGTAGAAATACGCAAAATAGTTCCAAATAATCTAAACTGAATTAACAGGAGCTATTCACAGCATCTTACAGCTCACTGTGCATTAACTTACTCCCCTCAGCCTACACCAAGGTCTCTACGATGCCACAACTGTGTTGTTAAGCCGTATCACATAAAGTCAGCTCAGGTACCTCTGAAATACACTGAGAGCTCTGGTTAATCATTTCGGGCCCTGCCTATTGAGCTGATACACAAGCTCTTCAAAACACAGCTCCTTATGGGTTCACCAAATGATTCCCATATTTCCTGTGGTAGAGCACATTCAGATAGCAGACTGCATGTGCTGCATAGCTTTTCATAGTTATGAATTCCTGCATGTGCGCCAAAATAATTTCTCCACAACTGTACTTGAACTGCCAACCTGCATTCAGATCAAATAGTACATGAGATCTAAAAGCTGACTTGAAAAATACATCTAAAAAGGAACTGTTCATATTAAATACAGCTGTCTTACAAAAACTCTATGAGTAACACTGTATTCAGCACTATAAGCAAGCACTTGCATATTGCAGAAACTTAGAAGGCTTACTCATACAAATAATTTTTTACAATTCATTAAAATATGAGTAAGGTTGCTCAAGTTTGTTCCCGTTTAAGACATCACAACATAACAAGATAAAGTGTAGTAAAATATTTCAGAATATACATATGTAGGCTTAATTTCTTTCTAAAATACTTATTAAAATAATTCATTATATTTCTAAAAAATAAAACATTTAGCAAATAAGTCTATTATAAAACAGACTTTTCTTAAAATAAATTCATAATGTTTAACAGAGACTAGGGACAGCAACCTTTCCAGCATTTCTAACAATAAATATCTGCTAAAGCAGGTTTTTTTAAAATATATATTATGAGGGTATAAACATGAATCAATTTAAACAAATCAGTCTGACGTTTTTAGTTTTGCTATTCTTCACTGAAATGTACAAATACTGAAAATGTACAAAACAGAAAATTAAAGGGGCAAACAGAATGCTTACTTTCTCTAAAGGCTTTACAGTAGCCAAGGAATGACAACAAAAAGAACAGGGCACACAGTAGATCTGCTCTGCCAACAATCCCAGCAACCTTAAAAAAAAGAAGAAAGAAATTTCAAATTATCAGATTTTTATTCTTAGACAACCTGACATAAAGGTACACTCACAAATACAAATTGAAATATATAAAAGAATATCACTGTATCACTGATTGTTTTTTTAACCTTGGTTTACTGGATTAGTGATACCCAGTTTTTTAAGAAGCATCCCGATTTTCACTGGGTATTTCTTAGTATCAACAATATAAATGATTTGGTTTTAGTTTACGAAAAACTGCTGTTCTAAGAAATGAAGAAGGACTTTACTGAATAAAATTTAGACTCTATACAACTCTATCTGTTTTTTGGATCAGACTGCATTTCAGTAGAACACTTAGCAAACATGAAAATATAAAATTATTTGGGTTGGAAGTGACCTTAAAGACCATGTAGTTCCAACTCACCTGCCATGGGCAGGGACATTTCTCACCAGACCAGGTTGCTCAGAGCTCCATCCAGCCTGGCCTTGAACACTTTCAGGGATGGAGCATCCACAGCTTCTCTGGGCAACCTGTTCCAGTGCCTCACCACCCTGACAGTAAAGAATTTCTTCTTAATATCTAATCTAAATCTACTCTCTTTCAGTTTCAAGCCATTACATAGCTCTGAAGCCAAACATCCTGAACCTCAACAAAATTGGCAGCTCTGCTGAAACACAAATCAAGACTGTTAACTTTCAGAAGACAAGCCAGCCTTCAAATTACAGTCTGAATACTTAGAATGGACAAATAGCTTCCAGCCTGCAGATTCAGGGGGAAAAAAAAATTCCCCCTCCAGCAGTTTTTTGTTATATTAATTGTTTGCATTAGAGCTACCTCCAAATGCATCTTGTAACAGAAGCTGTATTAATGTAAAAGAAAATGACAAGCACCTCCTGGGACCTTTGTACTCCGGATCTGCACCAACATATTTAAATCAAGAGAAACCTCAGGACTACCAGCAAGCCCCTAAAATGTGTTTATAATAACTGGCTGAGATACAGCAAATCGTGTTTTTGGATCTTTGGTTTCCAATTACCCAACTGTCAGGATACACTACAAATTTTTTTTGTGGAAATCATGACATGGGACTGGCAGGAGACTGTATAAGCCCTGACACTGGAACCTCACTAGAACGTACACAGCAAGGATTGTGGAAACACCCTTTACTTTTCAGTCTAGCTCTGCTTCCTGAAGTGCTGGGTTCCATGTTTTTAGGAGATGTACAAAGAGGCCTTTCTGAAGCAGAGCAAGACAGCTATAGGGTTTTTTTAAAATTCACTTATTGAGATTATGTTTCAGGGGCAAAAGCAGTAACTTCAGTTCTTGTATAGTACACCAGTTGTGCCATTTTGTGTGTGATACAGAAACAGGAAAGTAAAAAGATCAATTGCGTCTTCATTTTGTTTAAAGGCACCTACTAATCCTTTTTTTTAGGAAAAGGGCATTTTTATGTCAGTCTAATGATGGGGCGACTATTTCTAAATAACATTACAGAGAGAAAGTGAAGTGTAGAGACATAAGAATATGATTAATTCCACTGAAGAGAGACTCTCCCACTCTCTCAGCTTCACTTGAGCACTGTAAAAGAAGAAATTGTTGGACTCCTAAATTCTGTTCAGGAAAACTTCTTGATTTATCTAAAGCCATGCACCTAACTTCTCTGCTTCTTTTTCTATCATAAAGAGGAATTACAAGAATTAACTCAATAGCTGTGGAGTGATTTGAAAGGTGAAAATAATGAAGTGTCACTCTTTTTCAGGAGCCAATCTCGCTAATGAGATAAAAGTAAAGGTGAACTGACACAGTTTCGAAAATAAATGTCCACTTGTTACAAAAAAGAGATTAAGGGGCTAATAACACACATGGCCTCAAAAGACTCCAACAGTATAATGTTTTCAAGGTCAGGCATATAGACTCTGGTACCAAGGCAAATTTTAAATTAGTATCAAATATATTCCTATGCCAGTGATTCATTTAGTATTTCATTACTGAAGTGTTACAAAGAATAAGCCTTTTTTAGAACAGAGAACTACAGCACAAGACTGTTTACATGCAGGTAGAAAAATGATAGTGTTTTCCTTACATAGGTACTGAAAACATTACACCTTTCAAGATCTGTTTTACATGACAGTTTGTTTTGCTGTATATACCAAAACCCAAAGCAGCAAATAGACAGATTCTTCACAATTTTATGTCAAAATATGTCATCTCATTTCAAAACCAGGATGTCGTGATACCTAAAACTCACAGATTTTAAATCATGAGGAATGCTTTTTAAGAGATGCTGCCAGACACACACTCATGATAGAACTGTAGCAGTATAATAATGACTGCTTCAGTGCAGCAAGATTTATTATTCACCAAGTAAATGATGAGAGGCTTTTGTTCATCCAGGATCTTAGAAGAGACATGATATATAAGCATGATACTTTTTCCCCTCCCCTTCAAATGTTTGCCCAAAGCATATGAAAGTCTTCAAACTTCAAATATGCAAGCAGACCACATCATTTATTTGACATGACAAAGGGCCCATTAATATTTGCATGCTGATTTAGACATATTTTTAGAGTCAAATGGAATGAAGAATAAAACTATGGATATTGATAAAGGAGTCAACAGTAGGTCTATTACAAAGTTAAGACTCAAGCGACATTTCTCTTTACATATCAGAACATCAGAAGCACTGAAGGCTTGTTTTACTTTACTCTGACATCTAAAACTGGTTTTGGAGAACAAATACAAGGGGCCCTTCTGACACTAGCACAATGCACTCTCACAAAGAAGTTACTGTGTGAGCAAACACCAGAGAATGATTGGCAGGATATTTTAGCCACACTGCCAAAAATGGTGCCAAATTACTAAGACATAACTTTACACCATTTCTAGGTTTCCAATACATGAAAGGTCTCCAGTGAGCTGAGAGGAATAGCTTTCAATAACCTTTTCCCTGTCAATCATGTGCAAGATGCCAAAACGAAGGCATGTTGTGAATAAATGAAAAATCAATGCCACATATGCAGAATAAGGTGCAATAAGAATTCAGTGTTCATTGCTAGGACAAAATCAAAATTAAAGCTAGTACTTTTGCTGTTGCTCAGACCATTCAAACTCTAACAAAAAAAAAAATCCCATATTGGGCTAATTTTAGATTTCATTTATTAATTACTAAAAGATCAAGAAATCAGTGACCACATCCAGCAAGGCTGTGGTATAAGGCTGTAAGACCTTCTTAGCTATTAGTACAAAAGAGCTTTTTAAGAACACCATCTTCTTTTCACTATAATTTCCACACAAGGACTTGAGCTTTGGTCAGGTATTTTGATTAGCTGCTATACATGTACCATGTTTCTATTCTGCATCTTTACAGTTTCAACTTCCAGCCACTGTTACGCTTTTGGCTGCAATATTAAAAGGCCCATTACTGTCAAATTCATGTTCCCCATCTACATAATTACAGACTGTGATTAAAAAAAAAATCCTTACATCTTCTTCTTCATATTAAAAATATAAACCCATGGAGTTTGATCTCTCATGGCACAGGATGATTTCCAGTCCTTTAATCATTTTTGATTCTGAGCCCTCTCCATTTTTCCCAGTGTTGACGTTGCAGCATGAATGCAAAACTGGATGCAGTATTCCAATAGTCACATATAAAGTTCATATAATGCCTCTCCTCCAACATTCTATCTCCTTATTTTGTTTATCAAAGCAAATGGAAGTGAAAAGTAATTATGGAAATACAGTAGTTAGGGAAACTTTGTAGTTTAGAGCTATACTTTAGTTATTGTACTTAAATGATTTAATTTATCTTCCTTAATAAGGCCTAGCCCAGTGGAATTACAAGCCTTTGGACGTACTAATCATAATATTTGATTGTTCTATTAAGACATTTGCCAAGAGAAGTGTTAAGAATATATAAAAGCAATGTGTAGAGTATAAAGCTATAACAGAATTAATTAGTCAAGATGGTCAAGAACTGTAAAGATAAAAATCATCGCAGATAATTATTCGATACTTACACATTCAGTGTGCACTGGATGTACAGCAAAGAGCAAGGCAGCTAGAAGAGAGGACTTTGGAGCCAGGTTTAGCCGTCTTCCTTTATTACTGAATTGCAGTCCACCCAATAATATTGAGAACACATCAATCATCAACACTGAGACAGTACAATGCAGTATTATATTGATGACATGGAAACCAACCGGGTAGAAGCCTCCAGCAAGAAGGTAATTAATTCTACATAGATACAAAAATATTAAGGTCAGGAATTACAACAATGTTTACAAATATGCAAATAGAAAAGCTAAATAACTCTATAGCAAGACGACATGCACACACAAAAAAAGCTGACACGTCTCAGGACACATAGTTCACCATTTCACCACCAAAATCAGCTAGAAACAATGTCCCAATCTTTACTTCACAGTATTCATATGGAATATCATATTCAGCACAGTATCTATCCTCTCTAGTTAATGCTATTATGTTAATCATACTTAGTTACTTAGAACTGGCTTTTGGTTGACAACATAATTTCAGAGTTGCAACGCAGGAATGTCTTGTGGATAAAGACTACTGGGGGGATACCCCTGGGCTTAAGAGCAGCCATGTCCAAAACCAACTTGATAAAATTATTGTAATTCAATCCCCACAGTGAGGAAACTAATATGCAGAGAGACTGATTTCCACTGACATTCTAATTGAAAAAGTCCTAGCATTTGGACTGACAATGTGGAAATCGCCTGGGTACAATCAGTTTCCATCCAGAAAGTAGTCAGTTAGCTTATCTTAGTAACTAATTTATGAGACTGGTTAGAAAGACGTTTCATACAATTATTAGAATCAGAAGAAAGTGTAAGTGAAAATTCAGTCTAAAACCCTATTCAAGATAGGAACTCTGCAGTAAATTGGGAAGCGAGAAGAAAAGGTGGAAACATCTTGTTATTATCCATATACTTTTATCAGTAGGTGAGATATACAGAAACTTAGTTTGAATAGGGAATTTTATCCAGTTCATTTGGTCAATCTGCATCTGGCACGAGTGAAATCTATCAGCATCCCCTAATCTATTATAAATATGACACACATAAAAGTTGGAGCGCAGGGAAATCAAGGAAGCAAATTTTTTATTTATGAAAATAGCATTTTGTGGACCATCTCTACAGGCTCATCTACATTTTCAGATATAGTAATGGTTGTATCCCAGTTCACTCTTTAAAACTAACCAGGATGATATTAGAGATGGAATATACGACAGAGACCTTGAAAAAAAGGAAAGCATGTAATGTGTTGTGCACTGAAAGCTTTAATAGGTTTAGGACTCTGACACTTTCTATTCAGTTGCATATTTTTTGTGATGAAAATGTGAAGGAAGTCCATCAGACAGCAAAATCCACAGTGCTAGGTACTTAAAACACTGACACTGCACCAAGAATCAAAGTTTTTGCTTGAATATGAGGACCAAGAGTGGGACTAGTTCTTCTGCACTTACTTAGTCCCTGGCTTAGAATGGACACAACTGCAGAACGAGTTCCAGGTCCCCATCAACAATATTGAATCACATGGGGAAAATAAGAAGCTTAAGACTTAGTCTTCAAAGATTCTCTGCATTACTGTGACAAACTTCTACTGCTTGCTCAAATCTTTGTGCAAAAAACATGAGCTAAGCATCTACAGAAGTAATCCTCTTAAACCTTTAGTTATTTGAGAACACCAGCAAGACATATATACAGGCAGACATCTCATTGGCTATGATTCTCAGACACAAACACTCACTTAAGTTAGAGTATCGGGGGAAAGAGGTGGGAAGACTATTCAGTGACATGGTGGCAAAAGGCCACAGTACATTGATGCTATTTATAAAATAAACCATTTGACAGATAGCAGGAAAGTAGAGAACAGCAACTACAATAGCAGTATAAGTGGCAGCATGGCAAAGTGAAGGGAACATAGACAGCCTAGTTCTTTGATGATGTGACCTACATACTAAACCATACTGCCCCTAGTACCAGCTGTATAAGAGCATAAGATGAAATCTCTGGAAAGTACATAGAAATACAGAATGTCAAAATAATGTATACTTTGGGAAGGGACCAAATGAAAAGCTAAAACTCAGTTTGAGATTAAGGTAGTGAACAGGAAAATCATATTTAGGGAAGGTATCCAACTACCCTCCAGATACTTGGTTTTTCTCCTTTTCTGTTGCCTCCTCCCTAAAATCAATTGAGCCAACATGTGCTAAAATAAATATTCAGACCTCAAGCAAAAAGACAAGTCTCACCTGAAAGTTAGGACAGTTAGTGGTCGATATGACTTATGACTGGTATTGCTGCTGAGTTTGCTACCCCAAAAGTCATGATACCACAGGTCACCAAGTGGGGTTTCTGCCCTGAGGTCCTGAAAGGAAACATAATAAATTAGTAGATTCTTAACATTTCTCCTTTGTTCAAAGCAGCTAAAATACCGACAAGGTCTAATAATACAAACTGACACTAATATGGACATAGCAGGACTTTTGTTGGCTCGCTACTGACATTTGACAAGGCACGCAAGTTTGCACTGAAGGTCACATCTTGAATGCCTGACATCATAAAGGCCCTGATCTTGAATTCTGTAAGCAGGCATAACTACATGAAATTTAGAGCTATGCATATTCACATCGATTTATAATCTGGTCAATAGCTGAGATATGAAACACATAAACCTTATAATTTTGTAAAAAGCCTTTAATTTTAGGTCTAGGTTATCTTGCAAAGCAGATCAACTACAAACTGCTTCAAATAGCTATTGTTTTACCAGTGTCAGTAGCACAACTACTAATGAAAGCATGAAAGCAAGGATACCAAAGACAGAAAACAACAATTAGCTCTTTTTGAAGCCTTACTTCACACAGGAAACTATTCAAATAGCTTTTTTAAAATTACTTCTTAATACATGAAATCAAGAATCAACATCTCTATACACTGTTCTAAAAGATCAAAAGTGAAAGACAGAAGAGTAATGAATTATTTTATTTTGGGGTACAATAGGGGACATTAAAAAAACACTGCAAAGGAAAAGTCTACCCTTTCCTTTATCTCCAAGCCATGCTGATAATGAAAAGATCAAAAAAATGTAGGCTGTCGAATGGAAAGCATTCCATTAGGAGAGCAAAAATAATAAGGATCTTGGTAGCACCTGCCTCAGTTTTCTATGAGGACAAGCTGGGATGCTCAAACATAATATTTGCCCCTTTCCTCCTCTTCCCTGGCACAATTCATTATCGACTTATGCTACAGCAAACGTGCAGCTTAAAAACACTTGACACAGAACCTAAAAACAAAACTGTACTAGTTAGTATTACACCTGCAATCAACAAGTTACTCTGCCTCCACCTTCTGCCCAAATTACAGTCAAATTTCTGGACCCTAATGACTGGCTACTGCTAAACTGAACTTAAAATAACATGTTTTTTGTTGCTTCTCTCTTAACATATTCTGACTTTCATCCATCCAAAATAAAATAAAAAAAAATCCTTTAAGATTTTTATCACTTGATCAAATTTAGCCAGTATTATATAACTGATTAAAAAAGAAGTAGGAAGGGGAAGTAAGCTAAAATTCCTAGCACACTGTCAAATGAACTGAAGCATTCTCTAACAGGTTACTAATCAATACTCAGAAAAGAGAGCAGGGATAAAACTACAGCCTGAAAAGTCCTATACTGCAGCTGTGAATTAAGGCAGTCTCAGGGAAATTCTTAAGAAATCAACACTCACAGGGGAATCCTATTTGGGTTTAAGAATTATGAAGGTGAAAAGCTTCTTCACTTTCTCACTGATGTTTCTACTGCCAAGAAATAGCAAAAAATTTCTTCTCCCAGGACTGCAATTTTAGCCTTAGGCACCTAAATTCCTGTTCCATTCCTCATTGGTATGCACAAACCCTAAAGGTCATAATTTGACTCTCAGAGCAGGACCGCACTTCACCAGCAGCTCACTGAATCAATACAGCCTGCTTTTCCAGGGGCAAGTTGGGACAGGGATGTACACCAGCTTCTACTGAAGTCTTTGCACTCTGCAGGGGACAGTTGTCAGAGGGTGGTGTGGCCCTGGGACTGTTTTTCCAACCAGCAGCATTGCTCCTTATGTACATTTGCCAAAGAAAGGGACTATAAAAGAGAGACTTTTCTTTTTCACTATTAAAATTTAAAAAGTATGTCTTTATGTCACAGATGGTCTTCAAGAACTTGAGATGGGAAATATATTTGAGATGTACAAGGCTTGATTTCCCTTTCCGCTATAATCAGTCATCTTTTGTCTTCCATCGGAAGAACGCAGGAAAAGCTGAATGTGTGGAATTACTTGGTGATTAGATTACACTTACACATGACCCAAAAATCTTCAATTGCATATCTTGCTCTTGTATCCAAGTTCTGTGAGAAAGTTCCTTACATTAATTTTCCTACTCAGTGGACTTACCCTAGAACAGGAACAATTTGCTCTAAGAGACACAGCTGTTTAAAAGCTACATATGATTTCCTCTTTAAGAACCAAAAGTAGATATCAAAGGATCTCTAAATATTTGATTAGCCAGCAGAGTTCAAGACTTGAAGAAAGGTCAGTTTTTCTATATAGATGCTTATGGAAATGCCATATTGTGTCTGAAGCTCTGCCTAATCCAACTGTTTGTCTTGCCAAGCTAGTAAATAAAGACAAAAGTCACTGTCATGTACCAGTTAAAATGCTGCTTAAAATGACAAGAAAGCATCTGGAAAACAGCTTTGAACTCCAATAAAATCTAGTAACAGAATGTTCCATGATATGATAGCCGTAGGGTCAACTAACGGTGTTTCTTTCATTAAAAAAAAAAAAAAATATATATTGAAAGATTAGGGTGATGGCAGGTAGTAAATACTGTGTGGTAGCCAAGAAAATACCAGTGAGTAATGCTCAGTAAATCTACAAAATTACTTCAACTGCTGTCTCTCCTATTGAATAGGAATAAAATATGCTATGCTTTGCTTAATAAACTGTGCCACTGCTAGATGCTCTCCCTCCCCATTAAACTGGTAAACTCATTGTCTCTGTATTTTTTTTGCAGATTTTGTATTTCCATATATTCATATGACCCCTATCTGAAATGATACTGTCAAAAAAATCCTTATTTAATATAGGAAATAATAGAGGATTTTGAAGTGAAAAATAGAAACAGACTCAGTTTTTTGGAAATACAGAGTAGGTATAAATTAATTTATTTAAGCAGTTGGTTGAATTTCTCAGCATTGCCAACAGCTAGAATCTTGGTGCAGGTTGTTGTGTCGCATAGATAAACTGAAACATTTCGAAAGTAAAGACTGAAAGAAATGGGAAGAGATGACAAGTGTGGAAATTGCACATTAACAAAACAACCTGTCTTATTTCAACATCAGTCTTTTGTTCGTTCTTTCAGGAAATATTATAAACAGGTTCCAAACAAAACTTTGCAGAATGAAACATTGCCTGGAGCTGTGTAATCTACAACACAATGCTTCTCTAAAAAAAAAAAAAACCCAAACACCAACATTACAGGTTCTTAATTTGTCTACAGTATTCTCTTGAAAGCTTTGAGATTTATTTCCAAGCTGGCAGATGTATTATCCCCCCATACATTTACAACTGAAGGTATGATGACTTACACATGCACAATAGAAATTTGTCTAAGGAAACAGTAATTCTGCAGGATTCTGAAAGACACATTATGATAAGTTACCTCTAAATCCTGTGCAAGGCAAGGCAAAAAAAAAAAGTGAATTGTGTTCTTCTAGTGGTACAACCCTCCAGATTATCCTCCTTGTAACCCCATGGCTTCAGGAAAAGAGAACCAGCAGATAAACGTGATTATTTTTACGCTGTGCTTCTCTCTCTAAATATTTAACAAGTACCTTCCAGAACAGCATAAAAGCTGGAACACCAAGACCCACCCATGGGCATAGGCTCACTCACCCCTACATGTGATCCTACGAAGTGTCTCAACAATTGAAGACACTCAACTCCTCGAAGTCAAAAGAATCTCAGTTAGAGGTTTATTTGAGTCACATGTTAATGTCTAATCATTTCAAGAACTGTTCATTGCATGTATGATCAGTTTTAAAACAGAGCAAAAGAATACTCTGCTTCTATTAAAAAAAAAAAAATACTGTTGTCACAGGAACTTTAAGTGGGGAAGAAGCATAGGAAAAGGAAGCTTTGCTTCATGTAACATTTTAGTGATATAAACCACAGCTGGAGACTCCCTGCACCCTACAATAGCTTAGGGATGCATTATGTGTCTACAAACAGAGTAAGTTTGTTTCACTTGGCTTATTCATTTGTGACCCTGAGGAGATACTGAAAAAAATCTCCTATTAACATCAATGGGTATCAAAAAAGTCTACTGCACACTCTCACTGACTTAGAAATGAGCATAAAATTAGACCTATAGGCAGTCTTGACGTACAGGTACCCTGTGAATAAGCCTTAATAAACATCACATCTGAAGTTGCTGCAACCCTAGGTAATGCTTTTTTAGATGATAAGCAGGCAAAGTTCATTTGGAATGGCAAAAGAGCTCCCTTCCCCCTGACCAGATATCAACACTCATTAAGCAGAGCATCTTACTTGCAAAAGAGTGAAAGGGGATGCATTCTGAGGTGGGGGAGAGGGGAGGGGGAAAAGAAACTGTTTAATTTGTTTCTATATTAGAGCCCAAGTCACGTTATCAAAATAGCTTTAGGAGTAAGATTTTGTTAAGCATATTTAGGCTTCTAGGTTTTTGGTAGAGCACTGCTGCACAGCTTGTTTGTCAGCCTTAAATAAGGCTTACTTAAAACAACACTCAATAAAGCAAAATGGGAAAATGAAGTTAAAAAAAAGAGGAATCTCTTTGCTAGGCTGAAACTTTGGGTCTACTTGGATCAACAGTTGCATTATTTTTTTTCCTATGACCATTTATGCCAAAGGGCGTGAGGTAAAGAAGAGAGACAAACCTTATTATTGATGATGGCTTCAGAATCATCAAAGACAAAATCTCCATCATAGCTGTTAGCAAAGCAGAGCAAGGAAATTAAAGCCACAACCATTTTAGCCCAGTACGGTGGAAGGAGGAACCATGATACATCATGGTCCAGATTAGGTTCCGTTTGTGCCATTCTGTGAAATGCTTGTTCCAAGCTGAGAGCTTCAGCATTATGTTGGTTGAAAATCTGAAATACATACATACAAATGCATGGTTATAGTCGCATTTCACTAAAAAAGAATTTAAAAACAGAGAGTTCAGTTGGGAGACAAGAAAGTTGTATGAAATTCCATACAATCTTACATTTTTCTCTCACTGCATTTCACAATTACTGGAACATACCGAAACATAATTTTGTACTTCAAACAGGGAAGTAAAGGCAGAGTTTCTCATGACTGGAGCACAGAGAAATTCTTAGATACTAAGTTAAAGCTTTGGCACAGGAGAATTCTAAAACCTAAAGCAAATTACTGTTTTTTCTGTTCCTTACTGTTCAAGTACTACAAACAGAGGTATCACAGAGACTGTGGAGCATTTATAAAGTTCTGTAGAGAATGATAAGCATTATAATTTCCTTCCACGAGTGAAAAGCAAACCATCAATTGCCAAAAGAGTTCAATTCTCTTCTGTTAATCAAACTAAAGCACCCAGTCTCACACATGCCCCCGTGCAAGGAATTCATACAAACATCACAGATAGACGGATATATGGAGATAGCAGTTAATGGACTAGGCCCTAAATCTCAACAATTCAAACAATGAGACAAGATCCATAGAATTAAGACTGGACTAGTTAGATCACTCTGAACACCTCAAGTACAGGCTAAATTCCAAAGCTGTATCCATGGGCTCATGAGGTTGTTGAGGTAGATGAAAAAGATCCTGCAATCCCAACCCTGATAAGCGATCCATCAGTGTGGAGGTACTAAGGCTGGAGGTTTACACCCATGAACCACCTTTACTTAGAAGGATCTCTTTCAGTGCTCCAAAGCCAGCCTTCTGCCTTGACTGCTATTCTGCCTCTGCTTCTCTGGTGCTCCCACTCAACTGGGACTGGTCTTATTATCAAGTGCTGGTATAAATGGCAAGGGGAGGAGGTTATGAATGGAAAACTGCAGTAAAAACAGGGCAGAATATGAAATTTTTATTTGCAAGCCCAAAGAATGATAAGCATAGATACTAGCCTATCTGCAGTTTCTCCTTTTTATTTGCTTTTTAAATCAAGCATTGCACCCCTGAAAATATCGGGTATTTAATGTCTTTATACAACCTTGGAAAAAAGCTCCAGTCATTTGGCTTCTGGAACGGGCTTGACCATTAGAGCTGCTATGGCGAATGCTCTGTAGCTTCCTCCTTTAGCAACATTAAATTCCAGTCTCCGCGTTTTTCCAATTCCTGCGCACACACATGCACAGGGACAGACGGTGCTCCCTGTCACATCAGTGCCCCTCCTCGCTTTAGGGACCATATAGCGGTGTTCCCAAATTCAGATAAAGCCAGTAACCTGGAGCAGTGCAAGCTGAGAGGCTGGAGCTCCCCGGCTGAGCAAAGCAGCTGCTTTAAGAGCAAAACCTTTTCTCAAAGTAGTTCACCCTTGAGCTCTTAGTTTGACGGAAACAAAGACGGAAAGCGTGGCTGTTAACTGAGGGAAGTGCTCCGCATTGCTACCAACAGCACGGATACAGCATCAGTGCCCACCACACAATTAATACACTTAATCTACTCAAAATTCATTTCGCCCTGAAAGTTTCTCCAATTACGCTTGCTCCATTTATCCGGCGCACAGCTGCTGCCAGCCCTCTTCCCCGCGGTCCAGGAGGCCCGGCCGTGGCGGGGTCCCTTCTCAGGGCAGCGCGGTGGCCGCACGGGCACCGCCGAGGGACAGAGGGACCGCCACCTCCATGCGACCGGCGCACACGCCACTGCCCGGCGGCGGCGGCGGCGGCAGGGAGAGAGGGAGGGAGGGCACCTCCCCGCCGCCCTCTCCAGGGAAAGGCGAGCCCGAGCCCACCCGGGAAGCACCGGTCCCGCGCCGCAGGGACCCCCAGCAGGGCGGGCACGGCGCGTCCCACCGAGAGCGCGGGCGCCGCGGGAGGGCTCGCACCGAGGGTCGCCCCGGCCGCGCACGGAGCCCCGCAAACTTGGAGGGCGTCCCGGGCTCCGGGCGGGCGGTCCCGGGGAAGGAGTCGTCCCGGGAAGGCAGCGGCGGGCGCGGGGCAAGGTGCGAGGCTGCGCCGGGAGTTCGGCGGGGGCCCTGCCCCGCCCGCCGCTCCCCTTTTGTCCTGGCGGCGGCAGCTCCGCCGTGGGGGGGTGGCCTGTCCCGGCCGTCCCTCAGCACCCCCCGTCCGGTTCCGCCACAGAGCGGGGCACGGGTGAGATCCCCGTCCCCCCGGGCCGCGTTACCTGCGAGGACACAGATCCCGCGCGGCATCTCCACCCGCAAGCCAAACTCTCGCGCCCGGCGAGCCGCCAGCGGAGCGGCCCGCGGGGGAGGGGCCGCGGCGACCACGCCCCCGCGAAACATCCCCGCCGCCCATTGGATGCGGCCTCCGTGACGCGCGGTGGGCGGGGCCGGGCCGGGGCCGGGGCATCAGTGGCGGCGGAGGCGGTGGTGGGGCCGGTGTGGGTTGTTGTTCTCCCGCCCTCTCAAACTCCGCGCCCCGCACAAAGGCGGGGGCCGGGCGGCTCCCAGCGTCGGTGTGTTCCGGGGCGTGTCCGCTCGGTATGCCGGCAGGTCACTGTCCGCGCACCTGGCTGGCCGCGGGGCGGAGGGGCGACCCGGGTGAAGCGGGGTGTGTGGGGGCTGCCCAGCGCGGGGGGGCGCGGAACCGCGTGTTTCCGTGCCCCGAGTCGCCCACTCCTCCCTCGAAGGCGAGGGTCCTGCTGCGGCGTGCGTGCGAGGACCGAGAATGCCCCCGAAAAGCAGCTACAGAACCACTGGAGCGGGGCGGGGGGAGGATGGTGGTGGCGGTGGTGGTGTCGTGTCGGTGTCTCGCTGCCTAGGGGGGATACTTGGGTGAGCTGGGCGCGTTAGCAAAGCGTTCCAGCCCGTCTGCTTCAAGGGGCCACGGTGCTGCTGCCGGGGTTGTTGCAGGTGCTCCCTGCAGGACGGGTACTGTAAGGAGGCAACAAAAAGGCTTTATCAGGTGTACATAATTCGTACGTTTCACCACCGCGATCTCCTTAAGTGTGGTTAAACACTGAACTGGTAATACGCAAATGTTTGACAGCAGCTCCCCTGGAAAAAAAAAAAAAAAAAAAAGAAAACCACATTAAAATCTCTATATGCTGAAACTGGGTGAGAAATCCTGGCTGTGTGCCAGGCTCTGACATACAATTTGTAGTGGGATTTTTAAAATGTTTGCATTATCAAGTGTCAACAGTTATTTCATGGCTCCTTTGAGGCTCTAACTCTCCAGTGGAAGTACTGCTTTGGGAGGGCTTCAATGGCTGCCATCCCCTAACTTGTCTACTGACACCTGCTTTGGAACATCTGCTGCAACATGGGCAGCTCAGCTGCGTGTGAGGGAGTAGCTGAGCTAGCACAATTGCCAGGCTCATATATTATTCAACTGTATATGTGAAGCTCCTGCTTTTGAGATGATAGTCTGTAACTTGTGCTTGTTTAAGAGCTACCACAAAGCATCTGAGGTACTTCTCAATTGACAAGTGGTGGAAAGCTGGTGGACTTGCTGTCATCAAGCACACGAAGCTCTGTTCACTGACTGTGAACTTTGGGTCCCTATGTTACAAGAGCTAAATACACAAAGATCTGCAAACTGGTAAATTAAGCATTATACTTTAAAATTATCTTGTTTATTCTGGCCTTGTCCCCAGCTGAGTGATCTAAGTAGGCACAATCAGGAAGCTTTGTGTTTTATAATTTGTCATTGTTGCCTCTGTACAATCTTTAACATCCACTGGACTGACTATGTGACCAACACGTCTGTCCTTGAACAGGCAGCAGCCACGAGCATTGAGGCCATGCTGCTGAGAACTCAGCTGCGTTGGGCAAGGCACGTCTCCAGAATGCAGGACCATCGCCTCCCTAAGATTGTGCTCTATGGGGAACTTGCCACTGGCTGCCGCAAGAGAGGAGGCCCGAAGAGGAGATACAAGGACTGCCTGAAGCAATCCCTCAGCCTTGGCCATATTGATCACCACCATTGGTCTACCCTGGCCTCCAATCGGGAGGCCTGGAGACACACCATCTATAACGCTGCTGCTGCTTTTGAGAACACACGCAGGATCACTCTCGAGGAGAAAAGACAATGTAGAAAGAATCGTGTCTCGTTGTTATCACCTGGGGAGTCTTTCTGCTGTACCTTCTGCAACCGGACTTGTCTATCTCGCATTGGCCTTTTTAGCCATCAGCGCACTTGTAGCAAGCGTGGGTAGAGCCCTTCTCAAATCTTCATTTGTGAAGGCTAGCCATGATTGAAAATGACAGAGGTGAAAGATGTCTTTTTGAGTTCTGGGTTGTTTTGCCTTACAAATGCAGAATAAAATGTGAGATATCAAAAGCATGGTTTCTAGGATTTTACTCCTACAATTCAAAGCACTGAGATTTGTATTGCTTCCTAAAAATAGCTAGTTTGCCATACTAGTTTGTGATGAGGAAATACTGGTTGATATCTGTTCCTTGATATTTCCTTACTTTTTTTCAGCTTCCACTCCCCAAACTACAACAAATATGTATTATAAAGTGAATTTCTTGTCAACAAGAATTCTCAAATTCAGCAATCTTTCTGAGATCATAATATTCATAGACTTTTTAATCTGTGTTTGACAATGGAAGGGCCCCAAATCAGAAGAGAGGTGCCCAATTTAGAAAGAAATTCCTTACTTAAGGAAGACAGTCTATCATGTATTCAATGGTGTCTTTTGTAACTTCTAATGAAGTAAATGAAATTTCAGTTCATGATTAAATTTGCACTTTTTTTTTTAATTTAAGCATATGTAAATATATGCAAGATTCTGTGAATCAAGGTTGCCTCACCAGACTCACTGTGATAATTGCTAGATTTTTGCCAGTTGAGTCACTTTGACATTTCTGTGTTACATTTTCTTCTGTAGTGAGTTTGACTGTATCACATTTGCTGATGCGAATCGACCATTAGTAGAAATAAATACATCACATACTCATCTTAGTAGCTCCTTTGCTCACATTTCTTATACATCTGCAGATCCTTGATCTGTGCTTTATAACTAGAATTTCATTTGTTCAGTGTAAATCTGCTGATATCATCAGTTCTGGTCAAATATGTATATTTCCACGCAGCCAGATGCACAGATGGTATAAATCACTTCATCACCACTTATGTCAATACAACAATAGTGATTAACATTTACTTATGAACTAGTCCACATATGCAGAAGCCCCTCCTTCCCATTATTTTCCATTTTGAAATAAGCCTTTTTCTTAGCGTTTTATTATCTTGCTTTTAATAATATAGCAGCTTTTATGATGACCTTCTGTTCTGTTTTAATTAACATGAAGAACTGCAGAGCAAATACCTGTTCTGGAGAGTTCCCTAGTTCCTCAAAATCTGATTCAAATCAGCTACAGTTGCATAATTTATCTCCAGTCTGCTTCTTTGGAGGGTTATTATAGCACTTCAATTTAAAACAGTTCCTAAATACAATGCTGCTTTTTTTTTTTTTTTTTAAATCTTCAATTTCTAGGAGGGTTATGTGTATGAAGTTAGTATCTCCTTGCTCTGTAGTTTCCTCAGCATGCTAAATTGATCTGCCTAAGTGACTATTGCATCCTTGTTTTCAGCAGCCTGCCATTGCAGATCTGCACAAAGGCCAGCCTTTCCCTTGTAAGAAAGGATTGTGCAAAAAACATCGTATTTCGAGGGATCAGCATTTGCCAGTATCACAGTGACTTTGCGGAGAAGAGAATAAAATGTGGTAATGCAGGATTCAACCCAAACATTTCAGGAGCTTAAAAAGGCATTATACATGCAAATATTTTCATAAATAATATGCATATTGGCATTATTATTGTTAATAGAGTTTTGATGGTCTCTTCCTCTACACAACCGGTGTCCCAAGTAGCTACTCTGCTATGAGGCATTTTGAGTAGCAGAATGTCTTAGGTAGCTTGTTTTAGATGTAATGTTTTGTATGTGCGTGTGTTTATATGCATGCATATACATATGTAGAGACGGCCAAACTCATATCACAGTGCCTGTTGGAGTTGCAGTGTTGATCAACCTTAAGTCATAAAACCAAAGAAGAAATGAAGCAGAAGTTAAACAGGATTGTTGCAACAAGATTCTAATGAATAGAGTTTGTTTCCTGTTTTTTATGTGTCTCATATTCCTATACCTCCTTGCTTTACTAATTGCATGACCCATACAAGACATCTTCATTAAGATCCCTCGATACTTCTCACTTTGGTTTTTGGCTTGCCACCTGTTCCAGGTTCATTTTATTCTATAACTCACCAGAGCTATGAATGTGTTCCCTGGTGAACAGCCTGCCCAGACTTCCTGGCTAGCCAACCAGCACACGGAATTAGTGACGGCTGAGTCTCTCAGTGAAAGTGTCTATAGGATTCCTGTCATTTATGCAGCCATTATCGGCTTTTTAATGAAACATACAGGAACTGAACATGCTTGAAGCTCCTGTACTTTGATAACTCTGGAATAAATGGAACAGAAGTTATCAGAAGGGGGTTGACAGACAGACCCCACAACTTTAATTTTCCTTAGAATTGAGGTTTTCAGTGAAAGATTGAATCCGTTAGCCCTGCTACTGTAGACATGTCCTTGCTCACTAGTTGAGAATGAACAGGTGTATTGACCAACAATGACCGACATTTTTTTCCTACTAAAATGTTTAGGGTAGATTATGGCTCACAGTCTTAAATTATGTTTAAGTGCATATTTAATCACACACTCTCCTCCCCCTAAATAGGTAGATAAGAAATATACTTTAAAACATTTAATTCTGAAAGTGAGAATTATGCTATGCTATACAGGTGGTTGTGGAATGTGTTCTTGTCAATATAAATTGAAAATCTAGCAGGTCAAACACTTCTGAATAACAAAGATTCTGCTATTCTGCTGTTCTCTGAGCTATAAGAATCCTCATCACTACTTCTCACTATAGTACTTTAGGCATAGTACAAACTATACTTCAGCTTTTATAGGAAAAATACAGAACTGAATCAATCTAAGCTTTCAAGGAAAGTAGCCATGCAGTTATGCCAACTCGTTTCAAGTTCAGCATTAATACTGAACTACTTCACTCTGCGCATCTACACAGCTTTTGTTACGTTAGAAAAAGTACACCCTCTCTTTGCCAGAGATTGAAATTAAAATATCTCTCTATTCTTGACACAAAGAAACAGTAGATAAAAAAAAAGAAGAAAATTTAAATGGAAAGTGGAACTTTTAAATAATTTTCAAAGGTACTAAAATTCCCTTCCTAAAATTAGTTTAATCTGTACAAGGAAAAGACTGGAGACATAGTCAGAATGATTGCATGTGCTAACATT